AAGGCAAGATGGTGTGCTGTACAGGCTGTTGTGAAGCCACACAGAGCTCCAAGCTACCTGTGACCCTGTCCACAAGCCTGGGTGAAATGACTAATGCCCAGCGATCCCTCAAGGGGTGAGCGGGCCTATGTGGACAGGCAGAGTGGGCTGACAGTGTATGATAAAGAGCCAAAGTCTAGAGAAGATGCCCAAGCCTGTGGCAGTGAGACCTACACTTTCGCCCCGTAGGCTTCCGTCGGGGCATTCTCTGAGTACGCCATTCCATGCTTTGATGATCCTTACCTCAAAGCTAGGTGCAAAAGGAGGTCCTCCCCCAGACTCTGCTATGAACTAAGTGGAACATGAGGAGACGCAAAGGATCTAGCATCTGCTCAAGGAAGACTCATGTAGTCTTTGGCACATTATTTTCTTTTGGTGTGTGTGTGTACAGTCCAGAAGACATTCTCAGGAGCCTCCATCTTTTTTAGACAGGCCTAGAACTCACCAAGTAAGCTAGGCTGGGGGTTGGGGGTGGGTACCAAATCCCAGGTATCAACCCGTCTCCACCTTTGGGAGGATGCACCAGCACACCCTCCCACACAGGGCTCCCAGGGAACGGAACTCAGGGCTCCAGGCTTGCAAGGCAAGCAGTTTCCTTGACGGGGCTATCGCCACAGCTCGTCGTCGTCGTCGTCGTCGTCGTCGTCGTCGTCGTCGTCGTCGTCGTCGTCGTCATATATTTTTCAAAAGGAGATTTTGCTGCTAACACTCTGACTCCCACCCTCTCGGGTGCCCCTAACAAGAGGAAGCAGGCCAAAACTGACAGTGGTATTCATCTCTGTTATTCCTGGCCCTCGAGGGAAATGTGTTTATTAACGCGTCTCTTCCCTTGATTAATCACTAAATAGGAAGAAAAGCCTGGCACTCATTTCCCATGTGTGATTTATGTCTGGGGACCGGGGCGCTCCCAGCAGCCATTCATCTGTGGTTGCTGCCTGTCCTAACACTGGCCACCGAGTGACCGGCCACTGGCCTGCTCTCCCTCAGAAGATGCCTGATGTGGCCAGTTCCTGTCCCCATCTATCTCGGACTCTGTCTCACCCATTAGCTCCCCTCCTCTCCCCTCCCTTCCTCTTCCAACCTCACCTCTTCCCTCTCCCCTCCCCTTCCATCTCCTCTCCTTTCCTCCTTGTATATGGTCACATATGTGAGCATGTGTACATATACATGAATGTGCAGGGAGACCATGTCAACAATGATATTTTTAGACAGCTGGCTCTTTGGCCTGGGCCCACCGATTCAGCTAACCTGGCTGGCCTCCAAGCTTTCAGGGATCCTCTTGCCTCCCACTGCTGGGGTTACAGGTGAGGTCACCCCTGTCATGTCCACTGCTGGGGCTACAGGTGTGGTCACCCCTGTCATGTCCACTGCTGGGGTTAGAGGTGAGGTCACTCCTGCCGTGTCCACTGTGGGGTTACAGGTGCAGTCACCTGGGAATTTGAACTCATGTCCTCATATGTTCAAGGCCAAACCTTTTGCTGAATGGGCCAAATCTTCCCTACCACATCCCCCCCCCCCCACACTTTTATTCCTTTTTTGAGGCAGGTCTGATGTAGCCAGGTGTGGCCTTGAACTCCTGATTCTTCCACTTACATCTTCTAAGCGCTGGGATTACAGGTATAATCCACTACAGCTGGCCCAGGTCTTTCCTGAGCTCACTCTTAGGTTGTGTTCTGAGGAATTCAGCCCAAGTACTCTGCTTACACTTCACTGACCAAAGGCCCCAGCATGGAGGAATCACAGAGCTGAGGACCTAGGTAGAGGCCACTGCCTCCTACCTAAGTTACAGCACAAGGGCAGTTAGCTCCTTTGTATCCTGGTCAACTCAGGTTCACCAAACGGCCTCTCTGACCTAGCTCACACGCAGCCTGTACTCAACAGCCTTTGGGACACGCACTTTGCTCTCCTCAGCCTCAGGCTCCTCTTTGTCCCAGGCTGGGCCTGGACTCCCTGCTGGAATCAGTCAGTCCCCTGAGGCCCCAGCCATGTCTGCCTCTCCCCTGTGAGATCAATGCCATCGGCTTCTGAGCCTCCCCCTCTGCAGCCTGCATAAAGAATGAGCATCAGGATGGAGGTGACATCCCAGTCAAATTAGTGCCGATATGACAATAAAACACGCAGCGGAGGAGTTATCCGGCCACGAGCAGACAGTACTTCAATCAGGACACTTCAGTCTTCTTGGGGTGATGGGGGGAGGTAGGTTCTGACTGCTGGCACAGTCACAGTACCAGTGTCAACAGCCTGGTGTGAGAAAGTCCCATGCTGGGGGCCAGGGACCAGGGCTGGTCTCGCTCTCTCTGCAGAGCCACCAGCAGAGGAAGGGATGACTTTGGATTCGAGGCTAGTTCTGTTCTCTTCTCAGGGGCTCAGCGCCTGCTCTCCTGCTAAAAACCAGGCAGGAGAAGAAAGGACACGGAGGAGAGGCACCTGCAGCAGAGCCTGTTTTCCCCGGTCCCCGCCCTCACTGTGGCCCAGGGAGGAAGGCGGGCGGCATTGGTGTCTGGACCTGTCAGAGGCCTTGCTCTCTTTCTGACCACCTAAAGTGTGCCTCGTGTGGGGTGCCCACAAAACCCACGAGAAGCTATTGTAAGTTCTCAGACACAGACAACCTCTTCAGCTTATGATCAAGTTCACCCCTTCAGGAAAAAAAAAGTGTGAAGTTCTAGGGGTGGGGATGTAACTCACTTGGTGGAGAGCTTGTCTATCAAGTTTGAAGTCCTGGGTTCTGCACCCAGCACCACATAAATCGGCGTGATGGTGGTACAGGCCTGGAATTTTAGCACCTGGGAGGTAGAGGCAGGAGGATCAGAAGTTCAAGGTCATACTCAGCTACATAGTGAGTTCAAGGCCAGGCTGGGCTACAGGAAAAAGTTCCATTTTAGGAACTGTTTATTTAATCCCCAAAGTTAAGTCAGTTACGAATGTTAAACGTACTGTCGTGCACTGGGTACTTAACTAAGGAAAAACCATGTTGCAGGTATGGGAGAGCTGGAGGAGGATCTGAGGGCTGAGGGCCCACCAGCCTTCTCCTCAGATTGCCTCACAGTCTGGTAGATCCTGCCTCCATGCCTCTGTAGGATACACAAAGCCTCTGGAATGTTCTCTTCTCGGCCGGGTGCCCGTCTCCAGACATGAAGGCAAGTGCTGAGAGGGGAGACAGTGAGGGACTGGGTCAAGTCAGGTCAGGACCTGTATTGGCGTGCTTACAAAAGGCAGCCTGGCGCCTGGCCAGACCGGCAGAGCTCTTCGGAGGCAGAACTTGATGTGGTGTTCAGCCTCATGCCTCGTGCCTAGAACCTGACCTGGTATGTGATACTGGCTGTGATGGTTATTGTTTTGTTTTGTGAACTTGACACAAACTGGCCTCCTCTGGGAAGAAGAAACCTCAAATGAGAGATTGTCTCCAAAGCCTGGTTGTAGGAGAGCCTGTGGCGGCATTTTCTTGATTGATGATTGATGTGGGAAGGGCCAGATCACTGTGGGTGGTACCACCCCTCGGCAGGTGGTCCTGGGTGGTCTAAAAATTCAAACTGAGCAAGCCAAGGGGAACAAGCCAGTGAGCAGTGTCTGCCATGG